TTTACAGTTACATGATGAGTATACAACAAGCTACATATACAACTTTAGTCATTATCTAATTTAAGTAGTCCACTATATAGACGATTGACTATCTGTTAGTTCTACACTATGCTATCATACCTGCAACCTACCTGTGAGTTATCTATTTAAATACTCTGATCATTAACCCTTCTCCCTATCCCAAACTAATATCACCACTCTGATCATTAACCCTTCTCCCTATCCCAAACTAACATCACCACTCTGACCAACTACTTAAGCCAGTCAGTTCACCAATGGATTCATTCTCTGTATAGCTTAGGTCCTCTCAGTATATATATGCCCAATATATTGTGAGCTACAGAGCTCCAGTTAACCTTTGAAATAATTCCTACCAGAGTGATCATGTACTCATTTCACAGATTCACCTGAATTGGACCCTTGTCGATGTTTATACAAACCCAGTTTCTGCTGTAGCTATCTATCAAATATAGTCCTCCAAGTTCTAGCCAGATGTTTTATGAAGTAAATCTTCCTAATCTAGTTAGCCACCAAGCCAAGTTGGTATTATTACTAATGCAAAGCACCAGACTACATTATACAGTGGATTTACTCGTATCTATCGATCTCATATTCTTCATACTCAGGTTTTTTCACTAGATTAGACATTAACTAGCTTGACTGTTGAAATCTGTACTACTTCACTAAACTCGGGATTTCTACCATACAGGTCCCCTGCCTATAGATCCTATCAAGATTTATTTGATAACATAATTTGAGCATTGCGTCATACTTCCAATGTCTGATTGCTATTGATGCAACGTGATTTACAAGATTATAACCTCCAAAAACGAGCAGAGTTTACTGTAAGTTGAGTACAAAGGTCTAGGTAATTATTCAAATTCATCGACAGTGAGATTTGAACCCCAAACCTCTTGCATAGCAGTATGGCAACCTAACCACTATACTAAGATCACCAGACCTAAATAATTATTTTTTTGTAAATAATAAAATAAATAAAATAAATAAAATATTATTCAATAGTAACAATAGGTTTCTATAAAGGTCATTTAAAATAAAATTTTAATCAATTAGCATTTACTGTTTTTTTAAAAACTTTTCAGTCTATAGTCATTAATTTGTATACTCCAGGTATGATAATATTATGAATATAGTATGGTCCTTTCTATTTTTTATAAAATTTATTACCATGAACCTTAGCTTGAGCTGATTGATATAATAATACTTTGTCACCTATATAAAATTGTTTTTTCTTTATAGATTCATTATAATATTCCTTTTGTTTTTCTTGAGCAACTTTAATATTTTGTTTAGCTTTTAATTGGACTTGTTGTAACCCATATATTATATAATTAATATAATTTTGAAGTTGTTGTTCATATAGAGACTCCTCAATAAATTATTGTAGAATTATTTGTAAGTCAAAAGAAGTATTAGCTTTCCTTCTATATAATAATTCAAATAGTTCATATTTGGTAGTTAACTGAGGTATAGTTCAATATGCAAAAAGAGTAGCTGAGATAAAAGTATCCCATGAATCTTTATATTCACAAACATATTTAGCAAGTATCATATATAGAGTTTTGTTAAAATATTTAGTAAGTTCATTAGTTTGAGGATGATAAGCAGATATTAGATGATGCTTAGTTCCTATTAATTGACAAAGAGAGTCAACTAACTTATTACAAAAAGGAGTTCCTTGATTAGAGATAAGTTTCTTAGGATATCCATATCGAGAAATTATTTTATTATAAATAAATTTAGCAACTGTTATCCCTTAGATTGTAGGCCAACACAGGCAAATTTGCCTGTGTTTTTGTATTCATTCAGCTCTGATTTACTTTTTTAAAATGCAAAAATATTAAAAAAATAATTATAGATAATAAAAT